GGACTGACCCAAGGCGTGGGAGAGTACAGGGACGGCCCTGATGTCGTCCCGGCCCAGCGTCCCGTGACGCACGGACGGCGGCTGCTGCGCCTCCCGGGGCGACGTCGCGTGGAGGGGCGGGACAGGGGGAAATGGAAGACTTGTTGTTGAACAGAGGCCGCTCGCGGCGACGGTTGGATCACTGGACGGGCCCGCACGTGCGACCGGATACGCCGCGGGCTCGCTGTCTAAGTTCCGATATCGTTTCCTCCGCACTTCGCGCGAAGCGGAGCCGACTCCGCCACCGCTCCTGGTGTATCCCGGAGAGGACGCTGGCGTCACTTGGCGCGCCACGAAGGCGTCAGAGCGGTGATCATACGTGAGGAAGACGGAACGCGCGCTGGTCGTGAAATCGGTCCAGCGGCGATGGACATGTACCCCCACCTCGCTCGCACGATGCATGAGCTCGAGGGCGAACGAGTAAGTCCAAGGCACATGTTGAGTACTCCGCTCGAGCGGGTGCAAGGGGACGCTGGGGAGCTCCCATGCCACTCTCCCCAAATAAGCCAGCACCTCGAGGGGCTGGATAAAAACACGACCGTGGATCGACACCTCGTTCATGAAGGCATTCCCAAGGGCCCATGCCCACTCCCGCTCGACGTTGAAAATGAGATCGGCGTAAGCCGGGTGCGACGGATCCGAGCAAGCAACCCCGTGGTGCTTTAAAACGTATGGAAGCAACGGATGAACCCCTAACGAAGGGAATGTCTCCCTCACTACAGCAGGGAGGCGGGGAAAGTCGGCCGCGGTTAGGCCTCCTTCGAAGGAATCCGAGCGAAAGACACGACCATCCTCCTCCTCGGAGTGACGGTATGCCGCCCAATCGTGGGGTGCGATCCCCACGCCGTGCAGCCGCATGAGCGAACAGGCTGATTTTTGGAGGGCGACCCGAGCCTTCGAATAGGCAAAGGGGCGCGGGCTCACGTACAGCCCCGAGACGTGGGACAGGACGAATTCCCGAGGACTGGCTGGGTCGCGATGGGAAATATACGTAGCCATCCGATCCACATACTCCACCTCTCCCAGACTGTACGCAAACATGCGGTCTGACGCAACGACAGCGGAGATCTGATACGCCGCCCCGCCACCTTCCGCCAAGAGCCGACCCAGTACGAGGGAAGCCTCCTCCGCCCGCCCCGATTCGTACACCTTGCGAACGCGCAGTAGGTCGGGGCGGAGGCGCTCGCGGGACAACAGCTCCCCGAAGGTGATGCCGGACCGCGCGTACCGGCCCCAAGGGAACCGGAGGGGGTCAAGGAGCAGAGGGGTCAACCGCTCGAGCGGGACCCCAAACCACTCTGGCGGAGTGTCACCCGTCTCCTCGCCGGACGGACCCAGCTCCTGATTCGCCACCGCCCGATCGTCGGGACCGCGGCCGCCGCCCTGGGCGGCATACGGATCCGCGGGTCCTCGAGGGGCTCGGACGGGCGCGACGAGGGCCTGCCCTACCAGAGTGCCAGCGGGGGTGATCTCGACGACCACAGGCGGAGCGCTTGACGTAGGAATTAACTCGACGGATGACGTGGACTGGCGCGAACCGCGAGTCCTTTGGAAGGGCTCAGACGTATCCCAGGGGCGCATGACGGTCACGGGACGACTCGGAGCGGGGCCGGCGGACAGCGCGAGGGCCGCCGACGGAGGCGGGGACGACCCTGCAGCCCCCGCAGGATGCGACGGAAGGGGCGGAAGCGGAGGACCCGAGACGAGCGACGCCGAAGAAGGACCCGCTGAGGGGGCAACACGACCCTCGGACGGAGACACCATGACCCGGACACCGAGACGTTCCTCGGCGAACGACAGCACGACCGGAGCACGGAGCACGAAGGGGAGGGGAGACAGTAGGAAGTGAGACGCGCCGACACGAAGGAAGAGGTGAGGCGGCTCAGAGAGGTTGCGGACGAAGGAAAAAGAACCCGCACACACGCCCGGGAAGCCAAAACGGATTGAGTATGGCAAGAACAGGGGGTCGGGACGGGACACGCTCACCTCTGGACCAGGGGGGGAGCCCTCAGACACGACCATCTTTACAAGCCAGGGGAGTGAACGCGGACGTTCACTCTTGAGGGGGGGGCCGTGTGGTATAACCCCCCCTGGGGCTTTAAATTAGATTAGATCAAGAACTAGATCAGCTACTGTAGAGCGTCGAGCTCTACAGTACAACCGCGCGTGTCCACGTGTACACCACGGGGACAAGGGACACGCGCATACACGTGCTCACGTGTACCGCGCGCGGACGAAGCGCGCACGCACCACGGGTACTACGTGGACTGTCAGCCTCGACATAGCTGACAGTATTACAGTGCAGGCCGATCTGCACTACAGTAGCGCACTACAGTACCTCGGTACTGTAGTGTTATGATAGATTGTTTTGTATATTAAATACGGAGCGGACCGGCGGCGGCGTAGGGGGACAAGCACGGGCTTGTCCTCAACCGACCGCCAAGGTCAGTCCACCTAGCTTATTTAAACGTCGCCTTCGCTCTTCGCGCGCGTTTAGTCGGAGCCGAGCCGGAGTGGACGCGCAGCACGCGAGCGAGCACGGAACCGCCTCCGCCCGTCAGCACTGGTACGTCACCCAGTGCTGCTCCGGGGCGTCGAGGCGTCGATCCGCTCGTGCGTGCGCGCGTCCCTGCTCGCTCCCGCTCTACTACCGCTACCCGGGCCCGAGCCCGGTTCCGTAGCTGGTTGGCCTGCTTCACCCCTTCTTCGATCCGGGGTCTACAGGTCGAACTGCGCATACACCTCCAGTCGTTTGGGGGTGTTTATGCTACACATACCTCGCTGGCTTCTCCCTCAGCAGCGATATATGCGGGCCCATTGCCTCCACGTCCCGCCAAGGAAACAAGTATGTTCTAACAGTACTCGACACAACCACACGGTATCTTTCACCGACTTTATGCCCTCACGAGCACAAACCCCGCAACGCCTCGACTATATCCTAATCACTACCAAGGAGAACACAGGGCATTCACCACGAGTCCTCCGCACCGATAACGCACTATAATATATGTCAGCAACTGCCATACAGACATACCACAACCAGCGCACACGGCATTCCACCACCATCCCCTATACCCCTCAAGAGAACAGCCTTGCCGAAAGGATAAACAGCACGCTTCTCAACGCGGCCTGGGCTGCCCTCCACCACAGTGGCCTCTGCCACCATCACTGGGAAGACGCGATCAGAGATGCAACAGTTAAATATCATCACACAATGCACCACGGCACCAAAGAGCTCCCCACCACTGAATCTGAAAAATCTGCCGCAAAAATTCGTTAACCACTAGGCCACAGGCGCTGGCTTCTTGGTGTCCCCTTGGGCGCGCTCACTATTTCAACACAAAGAGCTCCCCACCACTGAATGGCACAACGCAGCCCCCGCCATCCCCCAATTCAACATATTCGGCCAGCTGGGCACCACACCCGACCCGCGACAACGTGCAAAAATCCCGAAGCTACAATCAATATCACGTACAGTACGGTACCTGCACCCCCATGACGACACACACCTCACCGTCATAGACGCCGCCACCTCAAAATTCCACCGTATACGAACAGTGTGTGGCATAACGGCGGTTCACGATTAGATTTAGATTAGATCAATATGAGCCGCACGCGCGCACACGTGTACTGCGCATGTACCCCACGTGTACAGGGGCGCGCGCACGCACGTGCACACGTGTACCACACGTGTGGGAAGCGCGCATACCCACGTGTACTATACGTGTACAACACGTGTACAGACAGCACGGGACGGCCCGTGCTGACTACAGTAGCACTACAGTACAGCCCGTACTGTACTGTAATAAGTTAGGAGTACTTGGTATATTAAATACGCAAGCGGACCGGCGGCGATGAGAGGGACAAGCACGGACTTGTCCACGACCTACCGCCTAGGTCCGTCTTCCAGCTTAACTATCTCGCGCAATCTGCCTTCGCGCGCGTTAACCGGGACGAAGGGGGTAGGGGACAGCCGCGTACGCGAGCGAGCCTAGATCCGCCTTCGCCCGTCAGCGCTGGTACGTTACCCAGCGCTGCTCCGGGGCGTCGAGGCGTAGATCAGCCCGCGCGTTCGCTCGTCCGCGACCGTCCCGCTCTACCACGCTACCAGGGCCCGCTTCCCTGTCTCGTTAGCTGTGTGTTCTCCTCGTCTTCTCGCCCCTCGTACGGGGTCTACGTCGAGCTAAGTATACACCCCTCTCCGTTGGGGGGTGTTATACTACACAGTGGACTTCCACTCTTACCATGCCTCGCGAGATCCAACCGTAACCAGCGTAGCTGCGTTCAAGGCCTTTACCCTGCATAAGACGCCAATGGACATCTCTATATCGACACCTGCCCCCCTCAACCGAGGACGGGCCAAGAAATATCCTGACGCACAACTCCGGGCAGAGGCCCGTGACAAAGAACTTGACGCACTCGACAAAAAGCAGGTAATCAAATGGTCAGCCAACAAGCACCTCCCGCCCAAAACACGCCTTATCCCCCTCACCATGGGATATCGCTATAAGCGCGACAAAAACGGTGACATTGTCAAACGCAAAGCACGATGTGCTGCACGCGGGGACACCATGCTCCCCCACGTCCATTACGGCCCAAAGCGCACAACGACCCATATGGCCGATAAGTCCTCAGTGCACCTCTTATTTGCCATGGCCGCAGCACACAAGCTACACATGGAGCATATAGACATCGAAGCTGCCTACCTCCACGAAAAATTCGACCACAGCGGAAAAAAGCCAGTGCATGTACACCAACACCCCCGTTTTGACGGGACATACAAACATCCCTGCAAAGGAGGCCAGCTCCTCCAAAACCTTTACGGCACGCCACAAGAAGGATACACATACCTCACTGCCGTCTTCGACCTCCTCAACCGCCACAGATTTCGCCATTCAGAAGGCGACACATGTCTGTTCCACAAAATATCCCGCAACGCGGCAACCTTCGTGGCCATAAGCATGGATGACTTCACGGTTGCAGCCACCTCCACCACACTCCTCGACGACTTCGCAAAAATACCCACAACGGCGTATACCATAAAACGCCTAGGAGTGCGTGGGGATCCGCATCGCTCCGAACGGTGTGTACAATGGCATGGGGAGCGACGACTTCCGCGAGTCGTTCCTGTACAAGCTGGGAGGTTCAGTGAGTACAAGCTGGGCTACATGCACCTCATGATCGGGCTGAGCTTCGGCTTCCACAACAAGGGCAAGACGATGACGATTGCGGAGCTGAAGAAGGAGTTCCCGGGACCGATTATTGCGAATGTTGGATTCGACGCCAACTCGGCAGAGAAGGAGCTGTCCGAGGGCGGAGCAGAATTGGTCGCGTTTGGAAGGCCGGTCCTCTCAAATCCGGATTTGGTCGAGAAGATGCAGGAGGGGAGGGAATTACGCCCGATGCTTCCGATGGAATATTGGTACACGAGTAAGGAAAATGTATGGACCAGTGAGGGCTACACAGACCTTAGCGTTATGGATGAACCGGTAGAGGCAAAGGAATAGATGTGGTAGTTTCCTTCTAGAAGTCCGTGTCGATTTTAATTTTGATTGCAGAATCCTAAATGCCGATGTTTTCATACACATCAAGCCTTTTTGTGTGTGTATCTTTTCGTGGCGGCATGCTTTTAACTTGTCCCGGTGCAGTACAGTGAACCCTCGCTATCTGAATCCTTGTTATGTGAATATCCGCGATATGTGCATGCCATTGCTCGGAACGAGCTCCGGAGCGTTGATTGCAGGTCACATATGAGGTATTCATGAATACGGCCTAACTGAATACCACAAGCACATCTTAATCATAACAGGCCTCATACAAGAGCATTCTATGAGACAAAACTGAGCTATGATAACTTTATTCATTATAAATGTGGTTCAATTTCCAGTTTTCCTGGGCAATCGAAAATGGACACACCTCGAACGTGCAAACCAAGCCAAGCAGACCCGCATTACTCAATATTTTGGTTAAAACTTATGGGATTGTTACATATTTGGGCTGTATATGAAACATCCTTGGAAACTGAATATGCACTTTAATTGAATGCGGAAGGAAGCAACCATCCATATTCAGATATCGAGTGTTCACTGTATCTGGTGGCTGTAACCGCAGCTGTATGGCGCATGCATATGCATCTCCCCATAACAGCGGTGCCTCGCAGGTGCATTGTCGGTTGATCGTTGAACTGCTTCTTTGACGAATTTTAGCTTCAGCGAATAGGATTGCCGCTACTTTGATGACGCACCTGATTCGTCGAACCTAATGATGCATTATCTACAGGCTATCCCGCCTACTATTTTAAGTATTAGCTTAGCAACATTAAAATAATGTCCATCTGTGTAGCATATGGACCGAAAACGACCAACACGTGATCCACAACTTCAAAGGAAGCGGCTCAACCGACAAATTTTTTTTTCTGGGAATTCTGTCTTGGAATTGAGTTCCACGATCATGAACAGGAATGGATGTGTACAGCAAGGGACGGCAACTGCCCGTATTCCGCACTATCGTAAACCACACGGAGATTCCATGTACCGTGGAGGGAAACTACATACACGCATGATCATGTCAAAGAAAAACCGTGTTTCTGATGTAGGAATATCATTAACCGTCCCTTATGGCGGCATCGAAAGAACAACTCCTTCAGTCATGTCAGCTGAAGAAATCGTATCCAGCAGGGCGAGGAGGAGAATTTTTTTCAGCCACAGAGGATCATGCAGACATCTGCCCGCTCATCGCAATTTCATTCGACAGAGAAGAAGCAGAATGTGGCTCATGGGGCATATCGATTTAAAGGAATGTGGTCAAATTCATCTAAACCATCATCTTCAAATTTTATACTGCAAACCCCGTGGTGTATACACAATACTGTCTTGTACGCACACCGTGCAGTTTGTCTCTGCAAAACTTGCTAGGGCTGATGGCTCGTATTTGCCCAAGTTTCATTCTACTCTTCTCTGTGTACGAACAACCTCCTGTTGCCGCATCCACAGCGTTGGACCTGCTACAGCATTCGTCTCCCCTCCTCCCTATCCCGGTCTTTTAATGTTGATTTCTGCTTCCTGTATTTCTTTTCTGCCATTCCTCTCTAGCTAGCCTTGCAAGTACCTACTACTATTACCATCCATCATGTCATACTGAAAAAGTACGTCCCCGAAAACAGAGGGGGAACTTTTCATGATGGGAAGCAGGCAATTCAGAGAATGTTTGAAGAAAAGCTGGGAATGCGTTCTCACACTTCTTGTTAGACGTCATACTCACCCTCGAGTCTGCGCGAAATGTTTAGAGTTGGAAGAATGGTTTTAGTTTTCAATTTGAAGTTGTATTTCATTTAGTTGTACTGTACTACCTAAGTTTTTCTCGTTGGTTAAGATAGCCGTGGCCAGAAAAGGAATTCTCATAACATCATTATCTATCTGCAGTAAGCCTTCTGCATATGCTCAAAGAGCGAGTTGAAGGTGCTTCTTGGCAAGATTGAAGGCTTCATTGTATAAGTACCGGTCCTCGTCTTCGGTAGTATCGACGAACCGCTCCAGATAGGCATCACGCGCAGGAGGTCGATATACCGGGATTTCCTTCAAATTCGCCTCGTATAGAGCAGCCCCCTCGTTAAGCTGGGACTCCTTACTCTCCTTCATTTTGCGGATTTGATCCATACGACTGGTTTGATTCAATCCAGCGTCATACAAAGTCTGAAAGAGATCGACGTCATCCCCAGCGACCATCTCGATGGCCTTAGTGTAGGCCCAAATCTCGTAAACCTCCTTGAAGTGCGTCTCGAATTTGCGCACTTCATCGTTGAACTCATCCTCCCTCGATTTGCCGCTGTCGTAGATGTTGTCCAAAACGCGTTCTGCGTTTTCGATACCCGCAGCCCTGAGATGAGATAGAGCCATCCGACGCATTGTGAAAGAGGATCCAACACTGACACCAGACGCTCTGTTGTTGATATCGACCGCGAAGCAGCCAGCGCGAGAGGTCTCGCCAGTTTCTGTCTTGACATCGAATCCTTTTCCACCAAGGCCGTTGTCCTCGATCGGAAGGAATTCACCGTTCTGGTCCTGAAATCTTCTGAACCTGCCAACCCTTCCGAAGTTGGGGTGGTCAGCATGATACGGTTTCACAAGCCCGGCAAGAGATTGCACTGCACCATCTTCTTGACGCTCAAACATTGGAGATACAAGGAGAGCGTCATATTCATCTTCTTTCATCGACAAATGCTCACCATTTTGCGTAGGATAAACGTCAGTATACGAACCCTGTTCGTACTTAGCAATTCCCGCTTCGAGAAGCAGGTGGAACATGCTGTGAATCTCAACCGGTGAAGAAGTCACATGCATCATGATCCATTCCCAGTTCTTGAACAAATTCATGTTGGAGGACTTGGTAGAAAACTCGGGGTCAGTGAAACAGGACACTTGGGCACGGTGATACAACCATCCTTGGCGACCCTTCCAGGTATGGGGTGCATATGCCTCCATTTCCTCAGTGGCTTTTTCGAGATTCTCTTCAATACCGAAGCCGAAAATGAGGCACAAGGCAGCTTGACGCCAGGCCCCATAGGTGGTTTTGGTAGCTTCTCGGAGGAAGTGCTCCTTCGCCTCCATGTTTCCACGTTTTTCTTCCTCTCCAACTTTTTGCATGGATTCGAGGAACCGCTGGGATTCCTGAAACTGGAACTTGAGCGTTTCTTCAGTAGAAGAAAACATGGCCTTTGCCTCAGCAGGGGTGAAGTTAGTAGCACGGGCCACGGTGGCCACCATGATGTCGTTCCAAATACTGAAGACCTGTTCCCCGTTTCCATGCAGGAACAAGGAGTGGAGGTGCTTGCTGGCGGCCATCACAGGTGTGCCCTGTAGCCACTCTGCAGTCATTGTGTGTCTCGGATAACAGGACTTTCCAGGAGTACGGCTCATCAGGGTAATGGCTCCCTTATACTTTTCAGTAGCCTGCTGGGTGACCTTGTAGCCCAGAAGCTCCGAGTCGTCAATCTCAAACAAATTCATGACGCCATCCAGGACAGAGATCTGGTCCAGACCAGACAAGCTCATACCACCACTGAGCATTTTCGAGCCAGGGATCAGACGACCGCTTTGGTCCAGGAGACCGCGTTGGGAGCAGTAGTTCTTGAAATGATCGACGTTCATGGCCTGGCAGAAAGTGAGGTTGCGTATCGCCTTGTCTGAAACGGGGTTAGTGACCGTTGTGCCAGTGTTAAGCCGCATTTGATCGGCGGCAATCAATTCTGCTGAGTTGCTCTTGTTGCCCCTGATGATAGCGATGGGCTTTCCATGCTCTTCGATGGCAATTTTTTCGACGGTCTTGGACGGAAGAACACGGAGTTTGTAGAAGGGGAGGAGGTTTTCGGCAAGCTTTGTGATCACATCAAAAGTGTTATATTCTTCTTCACCGACGGTACCTCTCATAAGGTAAGCACTCTCATGCTCTAGTTGACCATTGGCTGTGGTCGACATTGGCCCGAGCGAGCGCTTAAACATGGCAGCGCCAGGGAGATTCTTCGAGAGAACCTCTTTGTAGTAGGCGTCAGCTCTCTGACCGATGAAAACGTCATAACGATGCCTGTAGCTCAGGAGAAGTTTCAAGAATTCGAGGTTCTCAGATTCGGCGGGAATCTCGAGCGGGAAGGTGATATCATCTTCAATTCCGCTGTTCATCATTCCGGTCTGCTGGTTTGAGTATGCACCACCAACACCAAAGAAAGAGCGCTTTTCGACGACAGATGTGTTGATATTGTATAAAGCTCCCATGTTAGTGAGGTCTTCAAAATGCTTTCTGTAGAGAATCATGAAAATGACCTCCGAGTTAATCTGAATAACACTACGCGGCCCACCACCAACAAGAAGGAGATGATCGCTTTGAGCAGAAGCCACATCGAGGTACTTGAGATCGACCGATTCTGGAGAGCTCGGGACCTTGGCGGGCGAGGTAGACATTTCAGTTAATTGAACCATTGTGAGAAAGGAGTGAGTTTTGTTAGGCAGCTGAGTAAGACTCGTGAGTTTTGTGTGAGAGGTGGAGGTGAGTGGGTGATGGAGTTGAAACGTTGACAGTGGGAGGGTATTTTATATGCGTTCGCAGAGACTATAGATGGCACTGCATACAGTCTGATGAAGAAACTGCGGCGACTGCGGTGAGACAGAGAGGAAAGAGGACTATGTCAACACCTTCCCGGCAATAGAACTAGAGAAATCCGAAGGGTGTGTATTATGGTGGGTGTAGAATATTGGACAGCGTATGCTTTCGACAAAGTATAGAACAACCGGAAAAATTTGACGAATGCTTACGCAAAGCCTAATCGGACCGGCAGATGCCCGGGAATGGTACTGTCATGATAGACTCCTTGACTAAGAAAAAGGAAGCTACAAAAGGCTGTTGTAAGTAGCGAGCATAAAAAACTGATCGCAAATCTAATTGCAGTTTTGAAGATGGACGCAATTCTCGCGGAGAAAGTGGCCCAACGGTACGCCGTTGGGACAAGAGGGGCGGCTGTGCATCGAGAATCTGAGGTGCTGGTTTTTGAAATATTCCGTTTAGGCGGAATTTGCAAACCTGAAGGAGCCAAAAATTCATGAAGGTGCTACCATTCCCGACCGCCATAGTGTTCCTCTCATTGCTGTACGAGAGACAAAGGCTGCAGATGCCCTGTTTGTAATAGAAATGTCTTCAATACTTGGTTCCGGCTTGACCATGGTGCGTTCAAGAAGAAAAACAAGTTCACACAGTAGCTAGACAATGCCATGTCAACAAGGACCATTCCTCTCTTTTAGATTACTTTCTTTTACAGGAAGAAACTAGATTGGACTTTCGTTGCTTCTCGGAAACGTGTCGAGAAACTCCTTGGGTGAGAAGGCTCAGCAGCTGAGGCACTGTCTTCGAGGTCACGATTGCAGTCCTTTGGGAAGTTGTGACACGCGGGCAAACGTGGGGCTCTGGAGCTCATCGGGTGTGTTGAGATGACATCATCTCTTTGATACATCTGTCCGGTTACAGTGCCAGTATGTTTTGCTCGTTTTGATAGTATCGAGACATCATTGAGACGTTATGACACTACATGTCGTCACATTTTGTCTCGATACTATCAAAACGAGCAAAACATACTGGCGAGTCAATGGGAGGCAATGATATGATTTCTCTCTCATACGACGCCACCGTGCCTTTAAAAATTTCAGCGCAGGTTAATATTCTCTTATTGCGTTGTCACGTGCATCATCACGATTAGAGCATCCGGCTCCGCCATTTTTTTCATTGTTGCAGGTATTCTAAGGGTGTTAAACCGGTCCTCTTCTCTTTTGCACTACTAACGCTGTAACACCATGCCTGCTACGAAGGGAGGATCATCGCATCGATATGAGTGGCTGTTCTACACCCCGTGGTACATTGCCAGATGCATCTCTTCTCATCACCTTGATGTTGATCCGTTGTAACAGCTTCTCATCTTGACCTCACTTTGCCTTTGCTTCTGTCGCCGTAGAATAACAGCCAGCTAGGAAAACCCCCTTAAAATATTCGACACCCACTGCACCCACTGCATATAAAAAGGGACCGACTTGATCCACAGAGCAAGTCCGAACCCACCTCACCAACTGCCTCACTTACTCACCAACTCACTCAGCTTCACACCCAACCAACAACTATAAAAGTCCCCCCAACTCAAGATGCGTACCACAGCCATTTTCATGCTCCTTCTTGGGGTTGCCCTTGCCCAAAATGTGACGGAGAATACGAGGGATCGGGAGAGCTCCGTCTTTGGAGTTTTCGATGGCGTGCTCGTCGACAATCTCGAAACCCCAGTCCAGTTCCGCGGGATCCTGTACCTGAGCTTCGCGGCCTGGAATGCCTGGTGCAACTACCACCCGACAGCTGTTGACATGTTCGGTCGCGACAAGTTCAAGCGCCCCGCCGAAGAGCACACGCGTGACAACAAGAACGTCGCTGTGTTGTACTCGCTCTACCGCGTGTACCAGGCGTCTCCACACAGCTTTGGTGGCGCGCAGGGACTACCGCTGTACCGACAGATGATGAGGGAGATGGGGTACGACCCCAACGACCAGAGCATGGACCTAACGACCGCCGTCGGCATTGGAAACAGGGCCGGGCGCGACACCGCCCGCCTCATGCGCATGGACGGCTGGAACGGCGAGGGTGATATCAGCGGCACGCCGAAGGGATACAGGCAGCCGTTCCTCGACTACACCAATTACATCCCCAAGAATACGCCGTGGAGGCTGCGCTACCCCTTCCGCTGGCAGCCACTCCTCGAGAACAACGGGCGCGGGTTCTTCTTCCGGCAGGAATCTGTGACGCCATACGCCGGGTCCGCCATCGCGTTCAGCCTTACGCCCGAGGAGGTGAAGAGGCGCAAGGTGCCGTCCCCGTACAAAAAGGGATCTGTTCAAGCCAAGAACGCTCTACCCGAGGACATCAAGACGCTGAAGAGGAACGCCAAGGAGGTGCTGGAGGTATCTCGCAAGCTGACCGAGATGCAGATGATCTACGCGGAGCTGTTCGATAACAAGGCGAAGGCGTTCCGGACGAAGGAGAACCCGTTCGGACTCGGCGGGATCGCGACGGCGATCCGGTTCAGCGTGCTGGCGCCGGCGCTGGACTGGAACCTGGACGAGGAGATGATCTACGGACTGGGGGCGAACATCGCGACGTTCGACTCGATGGTGACAGCGTGGAAGGAGAAGCGGCGCGTGGACGGGGTGCGGCCGACGGGGCAGACGATGGAGTACCTGTTCGGGGAGAAGCAGTTCTCCGTGTGGGGCGGGCCGGGGCGGCGGCCGGTGAAGATCAGGGCTGGTGACTGGAGCCCGTTCATCCGAACGATGCCGCACGCGGAGTTCCCGTCGGGCAGCTCGTGCGCGTGCACGGCGGTGGTGGAGCACGCGCTGATCAACACGAAGAACAGGGACGACTTTCCGTTCCGGTTCACGGTGCCGAAGGGGTCGAGCAAGTTCTACCCGGGGCAGCTGCCGAGCAGGGACACGGACGTGGAGATCAAGACGCTGAGCGAGTGGGCGCAGCTGTGCGGGGAGTCGAGGCTGTACGCGGGGGTGCACTTCAAGCCCTCGATTCAGGCGGGTAGCGACCTGTGCAAGGGCATCGCGCAGTCCGCGCAGGAGCTCACCGATAAGCTCGTCGCAGGGTCACTCGACGCCAAGTGGATGAAGTGGCTGCCGGAGGGGGCCGACAGGTTTTGGGAGACGGAGTAAGGCAGATGGGAATAAGGGAGATTGGGTAAGCTGGTGGAAGCTGTGCTGCGGTATTTTTTAAAATAACAAATTACGGGAAAGTACTTTAAACGACATGCCTTTTTTTATAAATAGAGTTTATGCAACTATCAAATGCTCTTTTTTTGCAACTGACCTTTTTTCAGTGAATGGTACACTGGGCGCACCGTGGAGCGCAACAGTATACAGTTTAGAACTAACCAAACTAAAATCTCCCATGGTAGCTTGATGCAGTAGCGATAAATGCGGTCCACTACCTCTCGAGAGGTGGCTAGATGAGTGTCTATCGGACCGTTAGTGCACATATGAGAACAAAAGTTGTTTTATTTTTTCTTGACAACGCAACAAGCGATTTCAGTTCATGTTTTGTAACCAGAAGGCCATCACTGCAGGTAAAGCACATGGTTTTCGATTCTTACCGAAAACTGTCTCATTGGTACCCACATAGAGGCGTTCAAAGAAAAAGTCGGCTTACAACTAGCATTTTTCTTAAAGCAAATTTTATACAAGTAGCATAGAAACTTCAGAAAAAATTTAAAATACTCAATCTACCAAAGAAAAATGGAAACCGTGGACATCAAAGTTGAAAAGAAATAAAATTCACAGATTTTTATGTTGTGCTAATGCTTGGTCGGATAGACACTAGTGTCCTGACGACAAGAGGCTACCCTTCGAAGGATAGGGTACTGTTGCACCTGCAGGGCCACGGATGGGAAGGGTCGGTAGAGCGCCGTGTGAATTATGGCGCACTATTCAAATAATGATGATATGCATTTATTAGCGCGCCCTCTTGCTTGCATTTGATAGCAAATGCAAGAAGGTACTGTAGTGTTCGTATACTGTAACTGGTAGATGGTGTCTATTTAAGGCACCGGGCCCACGGTCCAATGGGGCCCGGCATCCAACTATCGAGAAGTAAATCAATTGTGTACTGTCAACGGTGTTGTTTCTGTTGTGGCTGTTTGTCACTGTAGACAGCTGCCTGCTGTCGCCAACCTGGGTCGCCTGTCTGGCTCCCGGGTCTACCGTCAAGGCGCTCACGTCTGTAAGACGTGACATAAAAACGTTTTTACCGCGCGTGGCTGTTTCGCCACCGGACGAGCTAGCAAGGTACGTACAGGGTACGTGAAGACATATGCGTCGTGGTACGAGGAGCAACCCGGACAACGGCGGAAACGCCGCGGGTCCCTCAGACGCAAGCGAGACGGGTGTGTCATCGTCAGGGGAGGAGTACGACATCCCCCAGACGGACACTGTTCAGCCCGTTCTCGAGCCGTCGCCGGCAGAGCCAGGTTTAGGGCAGGCCGAGACGACGGAGAAGACTGTCAAGTCAAGCCAGGTGCTCTCAGGACCGGACCCAGCACCGACTGCGGCAGCAAACCACCTCGAGCGCGTCTTAGTCGATATGACCAACGCTCTGAGAGAGGTGACGGCGCGTTCCATAGCGCAGGAGGAAAGCATGGGGCAGTTACAGGAGCGGTTGAGCAAGGTGGAATGGGAAGCAAGTCAGCCGCAGGGCCCCTCTGCTCAGAAGGCCCAGGTGCCCTATCAACCGACGGAGGATGGTAACCGGAGTGATGGGGAGTACTGGCACTCGGAGCTGTCGGAGGGGGAACGCGCGCCGCGTAGCAAGTCCGCTCCACAGCCAGTAGCAAGGTCAGCAGCTGCTCGTAGTCGCGCCCATCGTCCTGTAGAGCGCTCCCTGAAAGTAGCAGAGTATGAAGTCTACCCTACCTCGGTCGCCTACAAGATCTACAAGAGCGCATTGGAGCACGCGCGTTGTAAGAAGATTGGCGACGGTTCATTCTTCGACTCCAAGCGTACATGGGAAAGGCTGCTCAAGGATTTCCCCATCATGGAATCGTCCGAACGTCGGCTGCTCCCGTATGCTTTCGAAAAGGACGCGCGTCGGGTCTACGAGGAGGTCGCGAGCATGCACACGGAGGCATCGGCTGCGGAGTTGTGGGGCCTGTTGGAGACCCGTCTGTGCAACAAGACGCACCGCAGCGCGCTACAGGATAAGTTCTTCGAGATGCGCTGGAGTGAGAAGAAGGAGTCCGTGGCACAGTATGCCGAGCGTCTCCGCTCCGCGTCCATGGCACTGCCCACGCCCATCGAGGGCGACGTGCTGCTCAACAGGTTCAAGGCCGGCTTACCGCAGAAGCTGCAAGACCAGGCCGTCCTTGTCATGGGAGATTTCGATACTGTAGTCTCATCGGTTTCCCGGCTGTCCACGGCGCAGCAAAATTTGCACCGTGAGTCTATTCGCGAGGTCAAGGAGCACACGGGCCACGGCGCCCCGCAGCAACCCGAGGGCAGCAATGCCAGCAATGAAAGCCGTTTCGCGCACGTAAAGTGCCATTTCTGTCTACAGCTAGGGCACATTGCCCGGTTCTGCGACAAGAAGAAGGCCCTCAAGGGCAAGGAGTACACCGCCCGACCGGCGTCTCGTCCAGAGCAGGGAAACGGGCTGGGGGGTGCAACTCCCCCGGTACGGAAGTAGACTCGGCCGCGGAGACGGTTGGGAGGGGCAAGCGCGAGTCGGTGTGCGCTTGCCGGGAGCCGCAGCGGCGGGAGAAGTTGTCGGAAGACGACGTAGCCGTCAAGGTGGGGGTGTTTGGCGAGGAGGTAATGGTGCCCATTGACACAGCAGCATTGTCAATTTGGGTGGACCATGAGTGGTACCGGGCCCACGGCGGGCGAGTACGGGCCACGGGGGGATCCGCCTGTGCAGCAGACGGACGGGAGATTGGGGTGATTGGAACTGGGAGATTGGAGTTCAGTTTCTGGGGACTACAGTGCAGTGAAGAGGTACGCGTCATGTCGTCGCTACCAGATAAGATGTTGATCGGGAGGCGTTTCTGGCGGAAGATGGGACTGCACCTGGACTTGGAGCAGGACTGTGCTTCTGTGAAGTGGGGTGACAAACGGATACAGGGACCGGTGGGCAGTCGCGTCAACCGGGGAAGGGATGAGTCTGGGGAATCTGTGCGCGCCGTGATCGAGGATGCAGATGTCGATCAAGCGCTCAAGGATATGGATTTCAGGGCATTCTCTTCTAGTCCCGCGAAGCGCAATCACCTACGGAAGCTACTGTGGAAGCGCCGAGACATATTCAAAGGGCTGGGCAGGATTGCGGGAACGCAGCATGTCATTGCTCTGAAACCCGACGCCAAGCCTGTCTGCGAGCCCATTCGTCGCCGGTCGCCAAAGGAAGAGGAGGTGGAGCGTGCTGCAATGCACAAGCTCATCAAGATGGGTGTACTGGAACCAGCAGTGTCCCCCTGGGCGGCGAACAATGTATTCGTCCGCAAGAAAGATGGGGGGATACGCGTGACATCGGACTTCCGACGTCTCAATGATCTTACTGTAACGGACTCATACCCCATGGAGAACGTAAGAGATACACTGGACTGGCTCGCTACTAAGAAGGTGTTCTCTGTATTCGATCTAAAGGACGGGTTCTATCAGGTGGAACTTCATCCAGACTCACGAGCATGCACAGCGATACGTACTGTACTCGGTCTACTACAGTTCACGCGGCTCCCGCAAGGATTGAAGAACTCCCCCGGAACGTTTCAGAGAATCATCAACCTGATTCTGGGAGCACGTAAGGGACAAGATGTGCTGGCGTTCATGGATGACACCAGCATCGGGACCGCTAATGAAGATGAGCATCTGGAATCCTTAGCTTCAATACTGGATATACTGTACGAGGCTGGCGTACGTCTCAAGCTCTCCAAGTGCGAATTCGGTGTGCGTAGTGCGGAGATACTGGGACACGTTGTTGATGAACGTGGACTACGACCATCCGATAAGCACGTCGAGGCTATCCGACGCTTGGAGATGCCTCAGTCAGGAGACGAGCTGATGCGCTTCCTTGGGCTGGTGAACTACTTTGCTGATTTCGTAGACCACTTCGCGGAAACCGCTGCGCCACTGTATGAAGTACTGAAGGGCACAGGGTTCTCTAAGAAGCGTCGGCATGGACAACGGCTGGTGATACCGGATTGGAAGGAGCGATGGGGAGCAGTACAGACGAAGGCCTGGGAGGAATTGAAGGAATCGTTGTGCGACCCGGAGATTCTGGCTGCGCCAGTGCGCGGAGCTCCCAAGCAAGTCATGACTGACGCTAGTGCTTACGGGCTGGGTGGGGTGCTACTGCAGCAAGAGAAGGACGGCAAGTGGCGCCCAGTATCGTTTACCAGCCGGACTCTGAAGAAGTCAGAACGCAACTACGCCCCGACCGAACGAGAATGCTTGGCAGTAATCCATGCATTGCTCAAATGGCGGCACTACCTACACGGCGAACAGTTTACTGTAGTCACGGACCACATGTCGTTGAAATGGTTGCTGAGTCTAAAGGACCCCCGTGAGAAGTTAGCACGGTGGGTGATAGACGTGCAGGACTTCGACTTTATAGTTGAGCACCGTGCCGGCCCAGAATTGGTAGTACCGGACGCACTCAGTAGGGATGCTGTACCCAAGCCGCTCTGTCAGCGCTGCTACTGTCCTATTGACAAGCTAAGGATGGAGGAGCTAGGTCAAGCGGAAGCAGACGAGCAAGTGGCAGCGGTAAACGAGGCTGTCGCACCAACCATCACGGGACTGGGGGCGCCGGGAACGGGACCTACGGACGGACAGCTGCGAGCTGCGCAGGTCGCGGAGTACGGCGATTTGGAGGAGCACGCACGGACTAGCAAGAGATTTCTGGTGGACGATGTCGGGTTGCTACGCAACGCCAAGCGAGATGAATTGCCAATAGTGGTGCCGAGGGCGATGGTCAAGAATGTGCTGACGTTCGTTCATGGGTCAAGACTGACAGGACACTACGGACTACAGAGGACGATGGCTAAGCTGCTGGGTCGCTTCTGGTGGAAGGGCATGGCTCGAGACGTTGCACGCTTCGTCAAAGACTGTCTACAGTGTACTGTAGCCGAGGACCGGCAACCGGGAATCCAGGCGTTACTGGAGCTGAGGCA